TATCAAGGGTGAAACAGATCACCAGCCCAGGTTGGATGCATGAGACAAGTGCTCAGGGCTGGTGCACTGGGAAGACCCAGAGGGATGGGATGGGGAGGGAGGCGGGAGAGGGGATTGGGATGTGGAATACATATAACTCCATGGCTGATTCATGTCAATGTATGGCAAAAAAACACTACAATATTGTAAAGTAATTAGCCTCCAACTAATGAAAATAAATGAAAAAAAATTTAATATATAAATAGAAGGAGGAAAAGATGAGAATGGTGATCAGCAAAATAGAAAATGGGCTGTGAAACAGAAATAAGGGATTGAACAAAACTAAAATTCTGATGTCTAAAATAATACATAAAATCAATCATCTGTTAGATAAATTGATTAAAAATAAGGGATCATAATGCAATTGCTACTCAAGAAAAAAAAATGGAACTGCATTACAGATGTTGTCAATGTAGAAAAAATAATTAGGAAGTATTATTATGTAATTTTCTTCCAAAAATTTTAACTACTTAGTTGATGTCAAAAATCATTTGAACCATACAAATAAAGTTACTAAAGATGAAATGCAAAATATTAATAGCCTCTATCTTCTTATGAAATTGAATTTTCAGTTAAAAATCTTCCCACAAGCAGAACCCCAGGCCCATACTATTAAATGGTAAATTCTGTCAAGCATTTAACTAATAAACAGCACAAAAAAAGTGCATGGATATTTGAATAAACAGAGCAATAAGAGATATATGCAACACTTTTTCTTCATCCCATTAATATAGCTCATTCTCAAACTGGAGGCATTGGGATTTGAATTCAGTCAGTCTGACCCCAGAGTTTGTGCTCTTAGTTTAAAAGTTATGTCATTTGATTGCAACTGGGCCATAAAGATTCTTAAAGGATAAGCTTATGATCATGGGTTTTGTATTCTCACAGTTGGGAAGGTTTTGGTTGAAGGAAGGGCTTGATCGGAATTTTACTCCAGGAAGATGATTCAGATGGGAGAGGGAGGAGGGACTAGGAGAGGAAATGAGACTGGAAATGTTATTTAAACTTGATGCTGTTACTATCTTGCCTATACCTTGTGTGAAACATGTACTTAGGATTGTGTTTATTTGTATGTGACAGCTCTCTGATTCCCAAACATCCATGTAGGTAAGAATATTCCAAGAGACTTGCTTAAAATGAGCATTCCTGGGTTTCTCTGCCAAATATCCGGGAGTTCAACTGATTTCCCAGGTGATTCTGACAGAGGTTCTAAGAAACCTCTATGATAGAAACCAAGGATTTCTGGATTTGATTTTCAGGTACACATATCTAGAATCCAGCGCTGTGCAAGTACAATGATAGAATTCTTTGGCCTGCTTCCTGACCTTCAGGAGCTCAGGATTTGGTTGAAGAGGTTAAGACAACTCAATCAGCAATGTGCAAAACCTGAAAATGATTAATTAGTTTAGAATGTGTGAATCATAGCTCCATAGTTTAAAAACTGATAGCTGAGATGCGGGTTACTGGAAGCCATCAATATATATATATATATATATATATATATATATATTGTCCCCAGTAAAAAATGCATTTCTCAATGAGGCAAACATTGTAAATGAAGGTACGAAGTTTACTTTTAGAGACACGGCACAACAAGTGGGAGAGCATATAGAGAAACTCTTAAGATCGAAGCAAGGCAGAGAGGCACACCAGGAAAGAAAGGGTGTGGGTGTCTCCGACAGTGAGGAGGAGCCACCACCAATATTTCTGATCGTTTTCTGAGTTTTTGGACATCTCTGGTGTTTCATGGGTTTCCCTGGTGGTTCAGAGGTAAAGAATCCATCTGCCAGGCAGAGGACACATGTTCTATCCCTGGATCAGGAAGATCCCCTGGAGAAGGAAATGGCAATCCACTCCAGTATACTTGCCTGAAGAATCCCATGGATGGAGGAGCTTGGCAGGTTACCATCCATGAGGTTGTAAAAGAGATAAGACTTAGTAATTAACCAACAACCATGAACAACAAAACCAGACAAAGGTGTTGTAAAAAAAAAAAAAAAAAAGATCAAGATAACTAATGCACTTCATTACAGAAATACTGAATAAAATATTAGAAAATAAAATATCACAGTATATGATAGAAAAATAATGACTTGGGTGAGG